AACGTGATGCTCGCCAGATAATCATTTGACAGTGTGCTCAGTTGTGAAGAATCACAAAACTCAGGAGCATATGTGAAATGCTGAAAATTATTGTTGAAGAAAGCATGCCAGAGAGGAGGTGTGATTAGGGATTGTATAATTTCTTTTTTAGCTGAGCATGGAACCCCCTTGCAGCATGAAGTCTATTGTTCAGTTTCTGCCATCGGACTATGGCTGGGGCTTTGAGTCACTCATTGTGTTGAGAAGTAGGGGACTGCCTGGAATAGAAAAGGCCAGCCAAGGCAGAGCACCCCTAGGGAAGGAAGAGAAGATGGATCTGCCTGGCCCACCCTCCCCCTCTCCTCCTAGGCCAGCTGTCAGGCAGCGCAGATGTCTGATAAGTTGGGCCTTCGTGGAGGGTATAAACAGTCACCCTGGGTTACCGGGCCGGGGCCACTGACATTCGCTCTTCCTCCTTAGCTGCCGGGCTAACCAAGCTCACCTCCTGCCCCGGCCGGGCCTGACTGCAAGCAACTGCCTCCCTCCCCCATCTCTGCGTGGCTGTTGACTAACACAGGCCAGGAAATCTGGCCAAAGCATCCAACGCATGCAGGATGACCTGGAGAAGGGACTGGGGAGGAAGGAGAAAAACAATCACAGAAAGTGAGAAGACATACTGCTTTATTTTCCAACCACTACCAAGAAGCAGCTGAGACATGGGTTAGGTTTAAACATTCCATCCGGAAGTTTCAGGGTCTGGTGTTACTCAGAGTGTCTCAGCTACTGATTAACTCAGTGATTCTTAAGTTTTGCCAAACGTCAGAATCACCTGGAGGGCTTGTTGAAACACAAGCTCCTGGGCACCCCCCCCCCCAGGGAGTTTCTAACTCAGAAGGTCTGGGTGGGCCTGAGAATTTGCATTTATAACAAGTTCCCAGGTGCTGCTGGTGCTGCTGGTCAAAAGAGCACTTTGAGAATCACTGGGTTACCCAGACTGGTGGAAGGCATCAGAAAGATTTTGGAGAATCTTATCAAAAATGCTGATTTCCAGGTCCTTTGTAACAGTCATGATGTGTGTGGCTGCAATTAACAAAATACCAGATGACAGTTACTTGCGCAAGAAAGGCATTTAACCATATATCGATTAGACTGAATGTAGATAATTTCAGGTTTTGAGGAGAGTCTCAGTGATGTTATTAAAAAATGGAGGCTTTTTTAAATCTTTCTAGTTGTTCATCCTTAGCACAGCTGAATTTGCATCCTTAGGATTGGTGCCTCATGGTTGCTGAATGGCTGCCACAGTTCCAGCCATTGCATCCAAGACAGAAGAAGGGGTGAGACCCCCCCTCTTTCTCTCTGTATCATTCCTTTACTTCAGATGCAATATCCTTTTCATAAGTCTTCATTCTATAACTCATTGGCCAGAAGTGGGTCACAAGTTCACCTTAACTAAACCAGCAGCAACAGGGGATGGAATTACCAAATGCATCCAGGCTCACCACTTGCAGCTGGGAGAGGGCTCACCTTCCCTGAGCATGTTACTGCCTGATCAGAGTTGGGACTCCATGACCCAAAGAAGAAAGGAGTGTTATTGGCCAGGGGCTAACGGTGCTTGCCCTAGCTAGGGTGACCAACCTGTCCCGGTTTTCCTGGGACTATCACAGTTTTAAAACTGAAAGCCTCACTTCTGGGAAATCCTGTCAGTTTGGGGCAAATCAAGATAGTTGTTCACCATAACTCCAGGCTCCCAAGACCTTCTGAACTAGAATCTCTTGGGCATGAGACCCAGACCTTAAAAATGATTTTTAAACTCTCTTCCAGGATGATTCTAATGTATGTCAAAGTAGGTTGACATATTCCCAACTAACATCAGAGCAGGAGGGAACCTCAGAAGTGATGTCAGTACAACTCCAGACTGGAGACACAGGGTCAAATGCAACCCAAGCCCAGAGGGACCTGAGATCTTCAAATTCCATCCCAGCCTGCTTCTTGTCCCCCTGCCAGAAGGGACAGTCTAATTTAGAGTCTCCCCACTCCGGGTGATCTTGACACCCTGCAGCCAACTCTGTCAGGCCCCTTGTCACAGAGCCCTGTGGTGCTGAACTTGCCCTGCTGTCTCCCCAGGAGATGGCAAGTGCCCTTGGGAGAGAAGCCCCAGCTGAGCCGTTTTCTCTCCTGAGCATCCAGCACCTTGCCTGGCTTACTTGGTCATTCGATACATGTGTGCTGAATACATGAATGAATGAATGAATGAATGAATGAATGAATGAATGAATGAAGTGAGGAGGCTGTACTCTTGAATATAAGGATAAACTCTGGCCACTAGCCAGCAAACCAACCCTTGTAACGGCCAAATGCCCGGAGCCTAGAAACGTCCCCACCTCACCAGTGAGCTGGCAGGACGCTGGGTGGGCTGGGCTGGAGTGGGTGTCGGGTCAAACTCTTCCCAGGATTCCAGATGATTGTACCCCACTCCCTGGGCCACTAGTCCCCAGCTTCTGTGGGAGCAGTGTGTGTCACCAGCACCCTGTGCTCGGTAACTTTCCAATGGTTTGAGCTCATTACTCATCATTAGGAGTCCTGGTGTCTGGAGTTTTCCAGGTGATCAAAGCTTCTCTGTCTGGAGCAGCCAGGCAGGCCCTGGTGTCTGTCACCAGTAATCTCCCAGCCTCGCCAGGCAGACAGTTAAGTAAGGGAGGGAAGGAAGGGATTTGGTTTTTAAGCTCACATAATTCAGCCTGACACCCCGACATGCAGACGGTGGCTCTGGCTCTGCCCTGAGGACGTTGTCCCTGGTTGGAAGGTGGGGGCTGACGGGTGCAGCGGCTCTTCTTCACTCGGGGTTATTTTAGAGCCCGAGGGCGTCTCTTCCCACCCTGTTCTCCTGGGAGGGCTGGGAGTGGGAAGGAGAACCAGCCACGCACACAACACACGCCCATCACCTCCTCCTGCAGCGATGCCTGCTCTCCCCCAGAGACGTGCTTCCAAGTGATACCCTGCTCTTTTCCTTCCCAGGACCAGGAACTCCTAATGGGGCTCCTTTTTTTTGTCCCTGGTCTCTGGCTGGGCTCAGGGTCCAATGTGCCTCCCCAGCTCCAAATCCCCCAACACTCCCCACAATCTGTGTCATTGCACAGAAAGTGTGTCGCAGGCCTGGAGTCCGGAGTGAGCACACGATATTTGTGCAGGCTCTGACATTTCAATAAAAATCACAAATGTCTTCAGTGCTGGGGAAAAAAGAAATTTAAAGGATGCTTAAAACAATTCGGAAATATTCCATTTCCTGATTTAAAAAAAAAAAAGTTGGACTGAAAAATCTGACCTAGAAACAAGCTTTTCTGATTTTGCACAAACTTTGTGCAAAAAAGTTTGCTCATCCCTGTCCAGGTAGCAGCTTCACAATGCATCGTTTAAGGAAATTAGTGTTGAGAGTAGGGAAAGAACATTCCAACCCCCAAGGCTGGCAATGGGGCGGTGCCAAGCCCTTCCCAGCATGCTATGGGGGTCGCCCCGCTGGCCCCGGGGACTCGGGTGGCTCTCTTTCCAGATGTCCTTGCCTGGCTAAGCTCTGTGGCTGGTGCCTCGCAAGCATCGCCCCTCCCCAGACTGCCTGGGAGGGCCCCTCTGGCGCAGTCCAGGCCCTCCCAGGCTGGAGAAGGGCCAGCTCGTGTCCAAGGCCCGCTCCTGCGTCTTCAGAGTCAGTCCCACCAGGATGTTTTACATATTTTAATTAAAGTGCCGCCCCGGGCTGGCAGGGCCGCTGATAGATGGCTCTGATCCGAGATGCAGAGTCGCGGTGGTGTGAACATGGCATCCAGCGATGCGCTCCTGCTCCCGAGCGCGCCCAGTTCCAGGAGGAGCTGGGAGCCCGTGGCACGCGGGGGGCGGGCGGCTCAGGGAGGGGAGGAGGGTTAGGGTAGAAAAGTGCCAGGGACGGTTTCCGAGGCCCAGCTGGCGGGTGGGCTGTGGCGGAGTCCAACTCTTGCAGACACACAGCCCTGTGGACACTCCTTAGCAGTATCAAATTATGACAAATGGCGTGGGTAAAAGTTGCTGGGTGGCAGCTGCCGCATCGCAGAGGGAAGCAGGTATTTTTAGCACTGCGCCTTGGGGCTCTGGCGCTGGGTTAATTAATCATGGTGAACAGCGCTGAGGTCTGTTCTTGACCCAGGTCCCCGCCCCCCATCCCAGCCTTGTCCCCATTCCCCCGACTGGAACACCAGCTGCAGAGGTGGGACCTGCCGCGGCTGGAGCAGCCCTGGTAGCCTCTCAGCGCCGGGGACGCCACCCCCCTCCTGCTTCCAGGGCCCTCCAGCCGCAAGGGCCTCCTCGAGGCTCCTCAAGCCGGCTCCTGCCCAAGGCCTCCCCACTTGCTGTCCTTCTAGAACATTATCCCCAGCTTTCCCCATCCTTCCTGTCTTGCTCCAACTTGCCCTCACCCCACAAAAGCCCTTCCTAGCCCACCCCCACCTGCCAGGGTGTCACCTTCCCCTGCTCATCTCCTTCAGAGACCTCGCGCCGGCCCAAACCACCTTATCTGCAGATGGCTTGCTTTACTGTGTCCTTCCGTTGCAATGCCACCTGCTTGTTCACTCTCTGTCTTGTTCACTCTCTTGAATCCCAATTGCCCGGCTCAGCGTAGGGTACAGGGTAGGCACCCAGCATGTCATTGAGTAAGTGGGTGGATGGAAGGATGGATGAATGGATGGATGGGTGGGTGGGAGCAAGGTGGAAGACCTTTTATGGGCACATCTGGGAAGATGCTTGTTGTATAGCAGCATCCTCACCCAGGCCATGGGGATTCTGGAAAAAGAGTGACTGAATAGGGCCAACTGCTGTCCTCTCTCCTTTAGAAATGTCCAATCACATATTCTTTGGGGTTTGTGATAGATTGCTCCGAATTCTGTGTGTTTTTTTTTAAATTGTTTTTCTTGGAGATGGGGAGAGAGACCAGTTTTAAGAGACTCCTAGGAGACTATTTCTCTGCTCTGCTTGAAAGCTGACATTACTATTACGAGTTCATTGCATGGTCCTTTCACTGAGTCTTTTCTTTAAATATAACTATTCTTTGTGGAAGACACAATTGGTTGCCGATCCTCCCCCTTCCTTGCTTGAGAAGAGAACCCCACTTTGGTTCTGGCATTGGGAGGCCTGTGCTTCAGGGAGTCCTGGCCCAGCCCCGGTCCCAGGAAGGGAATTGTGACTAGTCTGAGCCACCATGGGAGCCCCACCCCAAGCCAGTGATCTGCTTAGAAACAGCCCAGGAATGTGGCTCGAACCAACGGGATGTGAGGAGCTTTTACCTTCTGAGCGTTTTCTGCACCTTTACAAAGGCACATGAAGAAGGAGTGCATCTGTGTCATGTTCCTTTTCCTGATCCCCAAAACGATGGAGGTTTATCTCACATGATAGGGGGTATGGTGGGGTGCTGGGGGAGTCACGTGGCTTTCATTTGCAAGTCATGGCAGAGTCCAGCAGGAACGGTGCTCGGACCCTGGCGTGCCTAACCTGGGGGTCTGTTAAAACACGCCCACTCTGAGTCTCACCCCATTCAGGTTGAATCTGATTCTCCCGGGGTGGGACCTGGATCGCTGTGGGGTTGACATACCCCTCTTGTCCCCCCATCATCCTGAGACACAGGGAAGCTGCGAATCACTGAAACCAGGGGCAGGGACACCCACCTGGCAGTAGGGTTCAAGGCCAGGAGACGTTAGAACTCCTTTCTCTTGATACCTTGAAGGGGACAAATGCTGGGCCTTCTTACTTTCCTCGGATATATGGAAGGATATTTTGTGAGGAAGGCACAGGCCTCCACTATGAAACTTCTAGAACATTCAGAACGTGCACACCGAGTCGCCCTGCTGAGGGCGTTGCTCCGGAGGCCATCAAGCCCGGGGTCTTCTGACAGTGACAGCGCTGGCTTACTCTCAGCCCCTGCTGTGCTCGTGTGGCGATGCTGTCCTCCCCTCTGGTTCTGAGAAGCGAACTGAAGCCTCACCAGAAAGCCCCAGGGAAATCGAGAAACTGCTGTTCCGTTTTGACTTTTGCTGCTCTTCTTTCACAGCTCTGATGGTGACTTCCACCATTCCCTGTGGGAGGCAGACACACACAGAGAACGAGAGAGAGATACGGAGAGGCAGAAACAGAAAAACGCTCAGAGAATGATAGAGATCAGAAAACAGAGGAACGTTTTTCCTCTAGATGATTCAAAAATCATTTATTGAGCACCTACTATGTGCCCAGCATGCACATACACCCCTAATTAAATACACAACAAGACAACGCTCTGTTTACATCACCTCCCAAATCCCCATCTGGCTCTTAGGTGGGGAATCTAGAGGTTGCTGTTCCTGCTGAGACCAGTAGGTGTCATCATGTCAGCAGGAAATCTAGGATTTGAGAGCCACCTATGAAAATGAACTCTATTTCATCCAGTTATCTGAGTGCCATTGTGTGCAGGGCACCAGGAAGGACACTTGAGGATACACAGGGTGAGAAACTCACAGTCCCTGTCCTCGTGGAGTTTAATGTGCCATCAAGGACCTGGAAAGACCTCCTAAGTCACAAAAAGAGGGAGAAGGCAGTAAGTGCCTCAGGAGAGGTTTAATCAAAGGACTGTGTGGATTCTTCGAATATCAGAGACCTTGAAAAAGGTCTCTCACCTTCTCACATTGCAGTGGAGGGAGTAGGCTCAGAGGAGAAGGTGATCGGCCTGTGGTCACACAGCCATTCTAGACTCCAGATTTCCTGACTCCTGGAACAGTGCTCTTTCTGCCAAACATTCTGTTTCAATCACTGGTGTTGATTTTTTTTTCATCTTACCATTCAAAATTCCACCTTAGTTTAGCCATGAACCTGCTTGAAAACTGCCCTCTCTGATGCCTACTGCAAGGCACCCTAGATAGGCTAATCTGCATCCCAGGGAAGGCGGCTGCTCTCATCACAGTCCCTGTGGTGCTAGAGTCGACTCACACGGGCTCATGAGAACTGATCTCATGCATCTCTTCCCAGAAACACGATGTCTATAGCATAGAATTGGCCATAGTGGTAGTATTTACACTATGGAAATTGGCAACAGCTATACATTAGAGCTTAATTTTTTTCTCCTGGAGAGCTGCACACCACTGACTTAGGTATATCTTCTTTATAGATAAGAAAACTAAGACTCAGGGAGATGAGGTCATCTGCCAAAGAGACATGGCTTATAAGTGGTAGACTTGGGACTCTAACACAGATGGTTCAACACTAGAGAGCTCAGAGATGGTAGATTTAACAGGACTCAGTGTCATTTTGATGTGGAGGGGTCTAGGTTGATCCCAGGTGTCTTAGTCTGTTTTGTGCTGCTATAACAAAATACCCAAGACTGGGTAATTTACAAAGAACAGAAATATATTTTCTGATGGTTCTGAAGGCTGGGAAGTCCAAGGTCAAGGTGTCGGCATCTGGCGAGGGCCTTGTGGCTACGTCATTCCATGGTGGAAGACATCACGTGGCAGAAGGGCAAAGGGGGTGAGACAGAGACACAGGGGGCTAAACTCATCCATTTATAAGGAGCCCACCTCTGAGGTATGGTATTAATCCATTTATGGGGGCAGAGCCCTCATGGCCTAATCACCTCTTAAAGGTCCCCTACCTTTAGTACTGTTACAATGGCGATTACATTTCAACACGAGTTTGGAAGAGGATAAACTTTCGAACCATAGCAGCAGGTTTCTCATGTGGGTTCTGGTGTGGGTGTGGCCCAGGTTAATGTCATCAATCTGACAGCAACACTGGAACAGGAACTAGTTTGGATGGAGAGATAACAAATTCAGCTTTGGGTGGATTGAATTTGGGCTCATTGTTGGGGAGGCATTTAGATTTGGAGCCCAGGAGAAAGCTCTTGGCAAGAGATCGAGACACGCAGGATGAAGGTTTGTTCTCGACTGAACCAAATGTAGATTCGCTAGAAACATTTTTCTTTGTTATAATTATCAGGTGAAGAGTACAAGATTCACTCTTCTGTATGTTTTTTTTCTCATATTCGTCAATATTCAGGTGTGTAGGGGGACCACGCACACTTGCTCACACTTGTTCCCTGGTCCTAGTACATAGTGAGTACTCAGTACTCGTTGATTGAATAAATATGAGTAACCCGTTTTTACCCTGCACGTTCAGAACCAGCCACTGCTGTGGATCATTCATCAAAACCTAAGTATACTTCTCACAATGTCTAAGATTATCTAGAATTCTGGCATCATTATAGAAGTATGGATTTGGCATCAGAAATTATTCTTCTAGCATTTTAGAGCAAGAAGTGGGATTAGTCATTATCTCTTACAATGTCCTTGTTTTACTGCTAAGGCACTAACACCCAGAGCCCATTCTGAGCCCACTCAGGCCCCTTGCCAGTGTGGGAGACCACGCAGTCCTGGCAGCCAGTGGGCCTGGCCCGGCCTGCCTTGCTCTGGCCAGTTTTCTTCCCTGCTCTGGGACTTGTCTGTCCCTCAGGTTAAAGCAGAGCCCGAGTTCTGGTTCTAGGAGGGCGATGAGTGGATGAGAATCCGCATCTCAGGGCAGCTTGGGTAGATGAGCAGACAAAGCTCTAGGTAACCAACCAGTCTACAATATGCAAATGAGCGGGTTGTGGCCTCCCTCCTGGTTGGCTGAAGGAACCCTGACGTCACAATGGGCGTGGTCTCTGCGCTCTAAATGATTATTGTGCCTCTGGCCAAAAATATTCACCGACCTGGCCGGTCCCTTGGCCGCCTCTTTGCGCCCAGTGTGGCAGAGAGCCCATGGAACCGCTCTACCAGGCTGGGTCCATTCTCATGAAGGTGAATACCTTACAAGGGAAGAAGATGGTGGAGAGTGGCCTGCAGTCTGGAGACTTCACGCTGTCGCAGTCGTGGCCCTCCTGCCTGCCCCCGCCGGCCGACGTGGAGATCCTGCAGCAGAAGGTGGAGGGGGTGCAGCAGGAGCTGGAGGACTTCAAGAAGGAGGCCCTCAAGGCCATCCACTATCTGGAGAACGCCTTCTGCGAGATGAACGGGGTCCTGGTGCAGCAGGAGGAGCAGGCGGCCCGCGTGAAGCAGCGGCTGCGGGAGGAGGAGGACCGCGGCATCGTGCGCAACAAGGTCCTCACCTTCCTGCTGCCTCGCGAGAAGCAGCTCCGCGAGCACTGCAAGCGGCTGGAGGACATGCTGGTGGGCCGGGGCCGCAAGGGCCAGGCCGACTGAGCCTCCCGGCTGCAAGTGCCGAGAAGATTTTTTTTTTTTTTTTTCAAATGGAAGGACAAACCCTAAGTCCCCACCACTTGCTTCCCTTTCCCCATGCCCACTGCTGCTTTCCTTCTACCTAAATAACACCTTGCTGAGAGGCAAAAAGGCCTCAGTAAGTTTTTTGGGGTGATGTTCCATTTCTCCAGCATCGTCCCGGAAGGAAGCACCCCAGGGCTAAGTCAGACGCCTGTAACTCTCACTCGAACTGCTTTCCTGCTTGTAATGGCGATATTGCTCGAATGTATACCTTCCTACTGTACAGTGCATTCTTAAACTGATTTTGTTGAACAGACTTACCTTTTTTTTTAATGATTCAAGGCTCTCATGATTTGTAACTTAACACATGGTCTACTGACAGACACCATGCCACTTAATGCATGGTCTACTGAGAGGGGCCTGTCCCTCAGGTCGCTTGTCTGTGCACCAGAAGGGCCCCAGATTGCTCTACCTTTGTCATTCTTACCCTTGCCCACTTGGTCTTTCTGTCTGCTTTCACTGCTAGACTGTGGTATCTCAGTTTTCTTTGCTGCCTTTGCACACCTTTGCGGCCAATCAGAATGACGGAGCTCGTTAGGACTCTGATGGGTGGAACTCCATGAGATTTAGTGCACTGATGATGCGATGCCTCTAAGATATAAACTGTAAAGTGACGTCCAGGTCGACCCATGGAGAAGGAATTATTGTTACTGTGCCAGGACATTTACCAGGTAACACACTTGCTTCCACTTGTCCCTTGGAGGTGAGTGTTGTTTTCTCAGGGACACAGGGGAAACTGACCACAGGAAGGTTGAGTCCTGTACCCAAGGTCTCCACACTAGTAAGTGGCAGGGCCATGGTCCAAGTCCAGGTCACCCATGCTTATATACCACCCTGCTGTGCCCTTGTCCCCTCCCTGAGTTTGGAACCACATCAGGGTGTCCATGGGGTCTGTCCTTCTGGAAGGTTGAGATAGTCACCTAGGTGATTTGGGGATTCATTAGCTGTCACTGTACCTTCTAATTCCATTAGTCTTCTGTTTCATCAGTTCACATATCCTGTCTCTGGTGCTGCCAAATGCTGCCATGCAGCAGGGATTCTACTCCAAACAGCGGAAGCGAGGTGCCCGGGGACCAGAGCTATCACCTGGACAGAGTCGGGTCTCTGTCTTTCCAGCTCAGGACTTACAGCCACTCCATATCCTCTGATCGTCTGCTGCAGCCTCATTCTCCCTTCTCTTTCTTCCAAGAATCTCTGCAAATAAAATCCAAACACCTGGAATCCGTAAGTTCAACTTCACAAAAGGACCCATGGTTAATTGTTATATCCATCCATCGGCATCTACCCTGATGGGCTGCACTTCTACTCTCACTGTAGTAAGTTTCTTCTTTAGAAGGATTAGCTGAAGTAGTAATAATGGTAATACTAGCAATATTGGTATTACTCCTAATGTAATAGCTTGGAGTTATCAAGAATATGATACATTCCAGGCACCATTCTTGGCCTTTGAAGGCAGGTACTGCTATGGTTTGAATGTCCCCTCCAAAACCCATGTCACCTTGTATTAGACATAAAACACCTTGGGGTGATCCAGGTGAGGCTTTGGGAGGGGCAAGTCACAGGAGGGCAAGGCAGGAAACAAGGATGGTGGCAGCTCTCTCTGCCAGGATGGTAAATCATAGCTGTCATTTTTAACCAGAGGAGGCTGGCCCACTCATTCTGCAGCTAGAAGGGCTCGTCTTTGTGTTCATTTTACCTCCCCATTCTCAGGCCCTTGCCTGCCTCCTCAAGTTCACAAGAAGGTTTGACAGCAAGGCTTTTTTCTGAGCAACTTTTGAGTGCCTTCTGGGGACAGCTGGGATTTCTGATTAGGCCACCCCTCACAGACGAAAGCCTAGTCCTGGAGGACAGAGGGAATGCACGGTAGATTAAAGAGTCAAGAAGAGATAGCTTTTTGCAGCTTTGGAAGATGGAGCTCCTCGCTGCAACTCACTCCCGACTGTGAACAGTAAAGTTGAGCAGCCCAACTGCTCACTTGCTCAGAAATTCCGAGACAAATAGAAGACAAAGTAATAGATGGTAGTTCTCAAAGGTTCTCTACGAGCTGCAGTGCTCTGTTTGCTCTCCTGAGCGCTCCAGCAGTCAGAGGCTGCTGAGATCCTGGACACGTGGCTCCATCATAGAAAAACCCTTGGCAGCCTTGAGGGTCCTCCCTGGGACCCCAAGTCCTGTGTCTGCTGCCAGCTGGGATGCTGGGGTGAGCAGCAAGGTGGCTGAGAGGCAGGAAATCAAACACAGTATGTGGCTTGGGGAGAGGACTAACCCAGCCGTCACGATTCAGTCTTGTCTACCTAACTGATACTCAGGGCCAGGAGGAAGAGTGCGTGGGTGGGCAGAGTCATGCTGTGTAGGTGGGAAGCAAAGGTTTGGATCTGGGAGTTTGGCTTCATTCCACACGCAGAGCTTTGCCTCCTGGTCTGATCCAATCTGATCCATTTAGTAATCTTCAGAGAGCCAAGCACAGCAAGCCTTGGGTGTCTTTCTTGACACTCAGCAGGTGTCAGTCTAGAGTGACTTTCCCTGGGTCCAGATTGATTCGGGGCTCACACCGCAGACTTGGCAACTCCTCCACGGTTGGAGGTGCGAAGGCGAAAGAGGCACGCAAGGGTTTTGCCATCTCCCATGCTATTCTCCCCCTTCTTCAAAAGTGAATGCAGCTCACACTTAGTGCCCAGCAAGGAGTAGGTCCTCAGGGAACATGCTGAATGAAACGGAAAGTGGTGGCATCATCCGTGCCTGTTTGCATGAGTGGCGTCTGTAAATACAACCTTTGAGAGGGACTTAGGGTCATTTAATAAGAGTGGAAATCTCTAAGGTGGCATTCTGTGACAGAGCACTGGCCCAGCACTCAGAAATCTTGAGTTCCAATTCTAACTCTGCAGCTCCTTAGGTTTCCATTTAAGAAGTGGACCTTTATCTAACAATCATTATCTCTGTCACCCCAAGAACTCCATTTCCAAACCATTTGCAAATTGGGATGAGTGGGGCCAGTTTCCCAAGGTTGTTTAAGATTTAAGTGAGATGAGGCATGTACAATGGTGATGAAAGAAAAGACATTAAATTATGAGATTGTAACCTTTGACTCCCAGTCATCTAAGAGGGCCAGCCCAATTTCTGGACTTTTCCGATGCAGAATTGAAGAAGGGAGGCTAAAGATCTGGCCTCAGAGAGGGCTAAGATGTATTCACGGGGAAGCAAAAGTAGACAAAACTGGACGGAAACAGGGAGAAGGTGAGCAATAACAAAGAAAAACCTCGCAGGCTCAGGTTGTCAGAGAGAAGTCTTTTCAATGTGTAGTTGAGAATGAGTCATGAGAACGAGGTTGCACAGCAGAGGTATGGTGAGACAAGGGAAGCCAGAGGCTTAGGGAAAAGAAGGCACTGGGAAGTGATGTGTGGGAGAGCTAAGATGATAAAAACTTAGAAGAAAACATGGGGGTAAATCTAAGACATGATGCTAAAGGAGGAAGCAATACAAGAACAAAATAAATTGGACTTCGTCAAGATTAAAAACTTTTGTTCTGCAAATGATACCATCAAGAAAGTGAAAAGGCATACCATGGAGTACTATTCAGCTCTAAGAAACAACAGTGATATAGCACATCTTATATTTTTCTGGTTAGAGCTGGAACCCATACTACTAAGTGAAGTATCCCAAGAATGGAAAAACAAGCACCACATATACTCACGAGCAAACTGGTATTAACTGAGCAGCACCTAAGTGGACACATAGGTACTACAGTAATAGGGTATTGGGGAGGGAGGAGGGGGCGGGTATATACATACATAATGAGTGACATGTGCACCATCTGAGGGATGGTCATGCTGGAAACTCAGACTTGTGGGGGGAGGGGAGGAAAGGGCATTTATTGAAACCTTAAAATCTGTACCCCCATAATATGCCGGAATAAAAAAAAAAAAAGAAAGTGAAAAGGCAACCTAAAGGGTGGAAAAAGCTATTTACAAATCATTTGTCTGAAAAGGGACTTGTGTCCTGAAAATGTAAATAACTTTTTACAACTTAATAAAAAGATAAATAGCTCAATTAAAAACCTGGTGAAGGGTCTGAATAGACATTTCTCCCAAGAAAATAGATGAATAATCAATAAGCACATGAAAAGATTCTCAAGCTCTTTATTCATTAGGCCTCCCAACCAAGTACTAACCAGGCCCAATCCTGCTTAGCTTCCGAGAACAGATGAGATCAGGCATGCTCAGGGTGGTGTGCCCATAGACCTCTTTAGTCATGAGGGAGATGCAAGTCAAAACCACAGTGTGATATCACTTTATCCCCACTAATATGGCTACAATAAAAAAGACAAGACAGTAACAAGTGTTGAAGATGTGGAGCAATGGGAACCTCCACCCGTTCCTGATGGGAATGTAGAATGATGTAGGTATCTTGGAAAACAGTTGGCAGTTTCTCAACATGTTAAACATAGAGTTATCACATGACCCAGCAATTCCACTTTTAGGTATATATCCAAGAGAAATGAAAACATATGTTCACATAAAAACTTGTACATGATTGTTCATGGCATCATTCATAATCATCTAAAAGTGGAAACAATTCAAATGTCCATCAACTGATGAATGGATGAATAAAACGTGGTATAGCCATACAATGGAATATTATTTGGCAATAAAAGGAATGAAGTACTTATACATGCTACAATGTAGATGAACCTTGAGAACATCATGCTAAGTGAAAGAAGCAGGACAAAGAGGCCACATATTTTATGCCCCCATGTCCATGAAATGCCCAGAATAGGCAAATCTACAGAGACAAAGTAGAGTAGTGGTTGATTAGGCTGTGGAGTGGGAGGAGAAGGGTATGAGGTTTCTGTTTGGAGTCACAAAAATTTTCCAAAATTATTACGCAATTTAAATAGGTGAATCATATGGTATGGGAATTATATTTCAATAAAGCTGCTTATAGAATAAACTGTAAGTTCAAATATACAGTGAAAAAAAGAAATGACACCACGATTTACAATTCAAATCTCATTTACTACTGAGAGATACAAATAAAACTGGGATTATTTCAAATCGTTTCAGTTTATGAACATGCTGGAGCAACACGGGCCCCAGAAATTATTTAGGTTGCTCTTGTAGAAAGTGCTGGATTCAGAGACTGGCCCACGATAGGCGTGTCAGAAATGATGGAAAGTGCTGGATTCAGAGACTGGCCCACGATAGGCGTGTCAGAAATGATAATTGGATCCAACCTGCAGATCAGTGACCTCCATTGACCTCC